AAAACTGAGCGTGAATGTCGCCAACAATGGTGCATGGAGCGCGTATCGTGTGAGTATTGGACTCTGCGTCAAGAATGGTGCGAGCGACGTTGCATAACTTCTTCACCTCCGACTCCCGAGGACAGGCGCCCTTGCTGACAGTCTCCAGAAATTGATCGATTGAATCCATGGCAATTGCTCTAAAAGAAACGGCACCAACCTAAAACCTGTACGCGGCAAAGAGACGATAATGTCATCGGCAGTGGCAACAGCAGAGAGTGGGAAGAGAAAAGGCAGGGAACTCAACACACCACCGGCGGGTGTCCCACAGCAACCTACAGAGCAAAAACAACAACAAAAATGGGCAAGTTCACTAATGGGACGGCGTAAGCTGCATAGGCAGGTAACAAACAGGGATACACAAAGAGCGAGGGCACCAACTAAGCTCAAAATATAGACAAAAGGTATATTAACAAATAAGTGAATATTCAAATGTGTGTCTCTCACTCTACATCCAAATTGCTTTGCGTGGAGAAAAGGGGGATGGGTAAAATCATCTCCGGCGATCGTAGTTGCCCAGCGCATCCGCGAGTATTGCGTCATCAAGAACACTCCCACCGTCAATGATGCTGCTCTCCACGTAACTTCGGTAGTCAAAATTGGCACATCTCCCAATGCGTTCTTCTACATCACAGCTGTATGAGATACTCTCCGATTCCGACGGAAATCGTAGTCGGCGGTCCATTGCCTGACTGTCGGCAGTTAAAGCCACGCTGCTGGGCGATGGCGTCTCACCGTTGTGACGCAACCTGAACTCCTGCATCATGCTGCGCTTAACCGAAGTGGAGGCGGTACATCCTACACCCCCTTTGCCGTCCTGGGCTCCGCCGCTATGCCGTGTATGACGCGCTTCTTCTTCAGCTTGGCGTTTCTTCTCAAACTGCTGCATCAGCTCGGCGGTGGTGGAATGCCGTGGCACGCTGATGGCGGACATTCGTTGGGCGGCCCCTTCCTTCAAAATGGCACGCATGCGTTCGTATTCCGCCTTGAAGGCGGGGTTCTGTGCGTCGTACTCGGCGCGGCGTCGCATTTCCTCCTCGCGCTGTTTATCAAACTCACTCTTGTCCCGCTTCTTTGACTCCTCATCCGTGCGTTTGCGCTCCACAAACTGTCGGAGTTCCTCCGCAGTGAGCTCAACGTTTGGATCCATCATCGGGTCGTACGCCCGCGCCTGCCCCTCAATGTGGGCCCGCAGCCTCTCCGAGTCGTACAGGCTGCGCTGCGCCGGGTCAGATAAGATGCTGTGGGCGAAGCTGATCTCCTTGAACATTTCAACACCATCGGGGTTCTTGTCTGGGTGGTACACTACGGCCAGTTTGTAGTACGCGCGGCGGATCTCGATGTCGGGGGCGTTCTTGGACACGCCCAGCACATCATAGAGTGCCCTGTTACCCTTCAACTCAAAGAGATCCGATCCCATCACTGTACTTTTTTTGTTTTTGTATTACTTCTTCCTCTGCCTGTTGGGTTGTCCCTGTCACCTCTTTATCTTTCCCAGCAAGTGTCTTCTGTATCTAATATAAATATATGGATATATTTATATGATACCTAGTTGAACGTGTTCAGTGTTTGGCAAGTTATATATATTCTTTGGTTCTTGTTGCTGTTGTTGTTGCTCACGTTTCTTCCTTCGCTGCCTCCTTGTAGTCTCTCTCCACGGCAGTGCGGTCGGCAGGCGACATGCTTCAACGATAAGCCGGCAAGACATAAAAAGTAGTGGGAAAAAAATATGATTCATCGCAATTTTTGTGCTACTTCTGTCAACGCGCTGGCTGCGTACGTACGTACGTACGTGGATCCAGTGCAGTTACTTGTTACTGTTTGCGGTCGCACCCTCGCCCAGCGTGGTGCAGCCAATGCTGCTCCTTAGCGCCGCCTGCACTGGAAGCAGAAAACAAAACAAAACAAGCGCCTCACCCTACCAAAAGAAAAAGGTTGGGGCTCGCCAAATGCAGCGCACAAGCAAAACGAAAGACAAAGAAAACACAATGGCATTACGTCGCCCAGGGCCCCGTCTTCTTCGTTGCTCGCCCACGGTTTTTCATGGTGTGCGCCGAAAAACTTTTGCCGCCAAATCCCGTGCGCTTGAGACCCATCATCAGAGCGCCGCCGCTGCCCATGGAGGAATGCTCCCATGCAGAACCCACCACAGCAGTACGCGACGGCTGCCCGGCCCCCGCCAGCCAAGGGCACATATACCCCTCCGCTTGCACGTAGAGTGAACGCTTCTTGCGCACTCGCGAGACGTACTTTTCCAGAATGTGGTCTAGTTTCCGCCGTCGAGCACTTTTCCTCAGGAAGTGCTGGAGCGACAAAGTGTCGCTCTCAAAAAGCTCTGCGTGCTCCCCTTCCTGGAGAAACGTGTCTTGTCCAGCCAGTTCCGCTAACAGAAGTCTGTTGTAGTCTCCCGAGCTTGAATGCTGCGAGAAATGCTCAAGGGACCCCTCCTGACTAGCAGGAAGATTTGCCACAGACGCAGTAATCATACTTTTTGCTATAGGCACACCATTGATGGCACGCACCGTGTGCGTTTCATTGTCTAAGCTGACGGAAAGCTGCGGCACGAGCGGTGCAGGGAATGACCGCAGCGGCGTCGTGTTGCTAGAAAGCGGTGGCGACAACCGTGGATCGATGTTATTTAAAACGTATGCCGCGTATGCGTCAGGTGTCAACGCGCCTGTGTTCATCCAACAGTTGGTCTCTGACGCATTTTGCTGCGGTTGCTGACGTGTCATCCGAAGTGACGCCCGAACGCAAAACCTTCTGGGCGTCTCAACCCGTTCCACGAAGGAAGAACCACCTGCTATGGGCGTAGCCGAAGCCAAAGCGCTTTGCGCCTCTGAACCTCCTTCGGTCAAAGCCGGGGCTGACAAAAGTGCACCGTTGCGAGTATTGTTGTTGTTGTCGTCGTCGTCGCAGCTGTGCTCACAGCACGCCACGAGGTGATTTGCAACTTTGTCTTTTGCCGATAATAATCCCGCCCTCGGTGATGTTGCCAACCACTTGGCTTTGGCCTCCTCATGCGCCAAGACAAGGCCTTCCAGCGGGAGGCTGTCCTCCTGGGGCAAGATAAAGGACTCCACCGGGTAGCGCTGCTCAACTGTCGTAATCTCCTCCGGAGTGGGAGGTGCGTAACTCAGTTCCCTGATGCCTTTGTACGTCAGGTCCTCTGCACGGCTGAGCTCTTGTGTACAGTAGTACGTGATGTCGTGCTGCAGGGCCCCGATGTTCAGACACTTCTCTGGATATTTTGGGTTGGCCCGTACGCCCAGCACAGGAACCTGGTCACTGCCCAAAAAGTTCCAGATACGATCCATCTGCCGCTGCAGAGCCACGTGATCGCCCTTGAAGCGATCAATTTTGTTCATAATCACCGAAAATGGTATCTGTTCTCCCTTCAGAAAGGCAAAGAGTTCCTCGTCGCGGGGTTGCAGAGACCCTCTGGCCTCCATCACCCAATAGACCCGCTTCAGAGGCCCCCTGCAACGGAGTGCCAAGTAACGAAATAAAACGGCAAAGGCGCCTGCGCGTTCAGCTAAGCCTTGTGAGAGATGCCGTCCCCTCCAACCGCCGTAGCCAGGGGTGTCGACAAGCAGCATGGCATCTCCCACGTTAAAGAACTGAAGGATTCGCGTGGTTCCCCGTGTGATCCCGGAACGGCCCAAGCGGTGGTTGTGCAGCAGGGAAGATACGATGGAGGATTTGCCCACATTCGGTTTGCCGATGAAACACACCTCCGGAAACGAATGCAGGCCCTCCGGTAAGGCGGAAAGAGCATTCACGTTCTTAAGGTGCACATTGCCTTTTGAAAATACCTCATCACTCAACCTTGCCACCAACTTTTCCCGCCGCGATATCACAGGGGCGTCGTCAGCAGAAAAGGAAAAAGGATGTTGGGCCACAGCAACTGGACGGGGCAGTTGATGCCTAGAGGCCTTCTCCAAAAATGGCCGGCAAAAATGGCGCATGCAGGGTCCACAGCCCTGTGCCTTTTGCAAGCGTGAAACCTACACAAAGGGCGTCTCTCTCGCCCCAACACTACAAAAATAGTCGAGAAAAAAAAAACGGTACATCCCCACCCCCACACCACTTCAAAGACGAAAAGCGGTAACAACAACAGGCGAAAAAGAGAAAGGGCATGCGTTTACCACGGTGGCCCAATAACCTCTGTAGGGGATAAAATGCTTTGCTCAATAGCACATCTTTGGCAGCAAGTGTGGCAAGGCAGAACGAAGAAGAAACAAAAACAACAAAAATAAAACCGATAGTTATATTTCAAGGCAACAAAAAAGGAGGAAAAAATAAAACACCAAAGCCTCATCCATTCGTCTCATCCCAGTGTTGTTCTTGTTTTCTTTTCTTCCTGTTTTATATAGGTTGATGGGTAAATAAATATCTAGATGTGTACCAAACGAAGCTTTCGAAGCTCTTCATACATGTTCCGCACGCTCTTATTACTATTATTATTTTGAAAACCTCCAATTTGTATCTGATGCCTCTCACTAACCTGTTTGTTTGCTCGTTTGCTTGCTTCAGTGTTGCCCGCTCTTCTTGCTGTTGCTTCCTCGTTCCGTCGGCTTGCTTGTGCGTGCGCCAAGCAACCCAACATTTGTCTCCCACTGTGTGTGGGTATTCCCCTTACTTGTCTTTTTTTCCCCCCACCCCCACTCCCATGCTCAATGAATGATGCATACAATGCATGAGACAATTCCTACGTCTCCCGCCAGGTGCACACGTTCATCACCCGATATACATATGGAGGGAGACACACCTAAAGGAAAAAGAAAAAAATGAAAGAACCAAGAAAGCAATAAAAGAGAGAAATTTTAAAAAAGGTATGGGTGGTGGTTGACGGAGATACCTACGTGCCTAGATATGCCATAATCCCTCCATCTTTGCCTTTTTTATGGTGGGTCGCGCTTTCTTTTCTACTAGAGGTATGTGTCTCTCACTTGGTCCCAGGTAAATTGTGTGGAGAGGCCTCATCCCGGTTTCAGTCGGCAGCGACTGCATCCTTAGCTTTTTCCTCTGGTGCTTCCTCATACTCCTCCAGTGTTTCCTTATGTTCCTTTGGGGTCTCCTTGTGCTCCCCCACGTGCTCCACTGCCTCCTCTCTCTCCGCTGGGGAGGTCTCCATTTCTTCCTCAATCTCCAGCTCATGAGGCGCCGTTGAGGCATTCGGATCCACGTGACGTGTTAATACAGGCTCCTCCAAAACCTCATGCAGGTCCATCTCCATTTCCTTTTCCTCATCCTTGTCATATGCGTCACGTGGCACCTGCACGATGCGGCTCTTCGCTTCTCCGGGAGTGCCGTCCATGCGTACTGGTGTGTACGTCACACGGATCAATCTTCCCTGATCCTCTTTCTGAACCGTGTAATTGCGCACACCCGTCTCGATCACTTCAAAGTTCTCTGTACCTGGCACCTCACGCTCCCACTCAATGATCGGCTCGCCAGGTTCACCGCCAAAGTATTCCACTTCCAGTTCCAAAGTGTTCCCAACCAAAGGATCACCCACCACGTTCAAGAAGTTGGTTTGCGGAATACCGGCAGAAACAACACCATCTGAACATGCGGTCACAGTTCGCCCCTGTACACCATCAAGGCGCACAGGTGTCACCGAGACCTCAATCGTGCAGTCGACCTCACGCTTGGTGAGTGCAAGTGTTGCGCTGTTGAGGCGGCCGGTCTTTGTTAGACGCTTGGAGTGATCTCGGCGGAACCACTGAATCATGTGTGGTCCAAAGTGTCCGCCTGTGTAGTCAAATTCGACCGTGAGCACGTGCTGCTCCGTTAACTCGCCCATAATTTTGAGGTTGTGAATTTCCGGCGCTGCTGGCTCAATGGGTGTCTCCAGCACACAGCGGCATGTCTCGCCCTCCTCACCTTGCTTGTTGACAGGGGTGTACTCTACTGCCAAGCACCTACCCACGTCTTCGAGCGTCGGAACATACCGCGTAGTATTCTCCCCTTCAATAGGGGTGTACTCCTCAGAGCTGTCATCCTTGCGGAGCCATTGATAGTAGCTTTCTCCCTCCACGCCACCAGAGTACACAATCTCCACCCCCAATTCGCTCCCCTCAATAAGGTCACCAATGATCTTTATGGACTCACACTCAGGAGCGCCAGCCATGACGGGTGCTGTAAGAACAGATTTGGGTTCACCCGCCACCCAGTCATCCCGCACGGGAGTGAACTCCACCTTGATGCGACAATCAACATCATCGCTTGTCAGCTTGTAACCAGCCCATGGATCGTTGATATCAATAGGAATTTCTCCGCCATCAGGCGTAATGCGGAACCAGCTGAGGTGAGAATTACCCTCAACGCCACCAACGTAGTCGGCCTCCGCCACCAACACGTGGCCCTCCACAGCCTTACCCTTAACTTCAAGCTGGGAGCACGTTGGTGGACCAGCAATGATAGGGGTGGAAATGTCGAAGTACAAGAAGGAGAATATACCGTCAACGTACGCAAGCACCTCAGCGCGCAGACAGCAACCCACATCAGCGACAGTCGGCATATATGTCAGTGTGTTGTTATCCTCAATGGTCTCGTAACGGCTACCTTGCGTGCTCTTCATCCAGCGAATGTGCAGAACGGTGTCCTTATCATCGTCCGTGTGTTCAACTTCAGGGACTTTGTAAATGTAGCAAAAGCCTTGCTTGTACGTCGACATCACTCCATTCGCCTCGGGGTCAATCTCAACACCATCCACGATGTAGCGGTATTCGTACTCCCCAACAGGCAGGTAGAGAGTGGTGTGGAAATACGTTTCGCCCTCATCTCCACCACGCTCTAGTTCAATAGGATCTGTCCAGTTGTTCATGGAGCCAACCACAAAGACTTCTGTAGCCTCACCAGAAATCCGGAATGTGGCGGGAATCAATTCACGCGAGGAGAACATATCCGTCTCCCTCTGCTCATATGGACGAATGTCTTGCAGACAGCAGGTGAGTCGTACCGGAATGCCCTCTGTGAGAACATTACGAGTTTCGTCCTCCGATGTGAGACGAATGGAGCATAGCTGCAAGTGCCTTGACTTTTCCCTCGCACGCTGAAGCTTAAGAAGAAAAGCATCTGCAGCTTCCTCCACATTGTCGCCCTCAACAATAAAGCCCTCGCAGATACAGTAAGCAACCTTGCCTTGATAATGCTCCAGTGCAGCCCGCTCTTCCCCTGAAACAGAATTACCGTCGATGGTGACAAGATTGGGGTTGTTGATGGCAATGGCCATACTGCGGTAAGAGGGAATTGCTGTCACTGGGTTCCCAACAAGATTAAGGGTGTGCAGTGAGGGAAGATTGGGGTAATGCTCGAATGAGGAAATATTATTAAAATTGAGGGAAAGCACCCGCAGGTTTGGGAGTCGTTCCAAGCCCTCAAAGCTGTTGATAGCGTTTTCGCTGAGGCACAGTGTCTCAAGAGGGGTAAAGTTTGCAATGCCGTGCAGCGACTCCACCCTATTCCCTGTCATGTAGAGGTGGCGCAGAAATGGGGTCTTGCTCAGGAAATCCACCGTCCCACAGATCTCGTTAATGGACAGATCCAACACCTTGAGGTTCTCCATGGTGACTTCCGTGTCGAACTCGGTCAACTCGTTTTCACGGAGGTAGATGTACTCTGCGGCGTAGTTCGCCAAAGTCACCTCGTGCACGCTACGGAGGTCCTTCTTGTTCAGCACCAAGCCGCTTGGCTTCAAGGCAGCGCCCCTGCCACCATACTGTAGAGTGCGTGTGGACATTTGTACTCGGCAGAATAATTCTTTTTCCTTTTATTTTTTTTCTTTGCTATTCGCTTTGTTGTTTTTGTTGTCGTCGTCGTTTTCTACTTTGTTTGTTTGGTTGGTTGGTTGAAACACCGGAAGCTTTTGTTATCAGATCCCTGGTTGAAAAGTAGTGCGGTGCCAAAAAGAGAAACGCAAACGCAAAGTTGTGGGAAGCCAACTTGGCTAGGGCGAGGTCAACAACGGCGTACACCGCCCAGTAGGCAGGAAAAACAAAACAAACAGCAAACAGTCCCAAAGGCAACTCTGCTCTCCTCACCACTTTTGTTCACTACTTTGTGTGTGTCTGTGTATGTGATTTTTTTTCCGTGTTTGCTTTCGCATCCTGACCGTGTGGGGGAGTGTGCATGCGTACATGTAGGTAGGTAGGCATCTGCGGCATCATTACTTCGCTTGCTCACCGTGCGTGTGTGGGTTGTCACCTGTTAGCTGGGCTGCAAAGTTGGTTGGGTGCAGCGCATCCTGTCGAGAAGCAGGGCATGGGAGGAGAGGCGTACTGTAGAGTGAAGAGTCATTTGAAGGGGTTCTTGCGCCTCGTCTCCCAGGCAGAGCTAAGCCGTGCCTGCCACCCGCTGCGTAACCCCCACGCACCTCACACAACCTTTTCCAGGAATGCACTCTCCTTTGAAAGGGCATCTGCGCCTTGGGATCCATTTCCGCCTGAAATGAGATCTTGTAAACATACTCCACAACATCCTGCATTGTCAACGCTCCAAGCACTCGGCCCTTGTCGTCGGCGATGGCGACAACCTGAATCAACATGTGTTGCAAGGCCTCAAACAACTCGCTACAAAGCGTTGAAGCTGGGAACCGAGGCAATACATGTAGGGGAAGTTCCCCAAGCGGCACTGACTCGGCCCCTTGACAGTAAATTAGCAATATGAGCGCCTTGGTTTCAAGTACACTGGTCACATTTGTTGGGTCATTTGGATCATTGTAGACAAGAATAAACTGAAGCCCCCTGGCAAAAATGTCCTCGGTCATTTGCTTTGTTAGGCGAACGTCACAGTGTAGGCTGTATACCGAAGCAATACCACGTTTCAAGACGTCGCGAGCCGTATTTTCCGACATTCCCAACGCGCCCAACATAATAGTTGACTCCACCGGTAAAAACTCGGTGTCCTCGTCTTCAGCAGCAGAGGCGTCTTTCACCGCCATGGAAGACATGGTTCTGATGCGTTTTTCGTTTCGAATTTCCTCTTGCAGACGGATGAGCTCCAGCAGCTCCGTGCGTCCCAGAAAGACAGACTCCTTATCCCCGAGAACAAAGTCAAGCAACTTCCCAACAGGCCAGGTGATGGGCGAGGTTAGACACATGAAGAACAAGACTACATACGTTAACGCCGCGCTGACTTGTAATGCATGGCGAATACACACTGCCTGTGGTATGATCTCCGCAAACACCAAGATGATTCCAACTGAGACAAATATCGCTGCCACCGAATTTAAAAACATGTCAAACACCAGCGGCATCATTTCCACCACTACAGCCTCAAGAAATAAAAGCGTAACTAATAGCCACTTCGATTTATGTAAAAGCATCATCACTCGACGGGCCTGGCAGGCACTCTTGGTATGACCATGTTGAATAAGAGCATTTAAGCGTTTCGTGTCAAGTGAGAATAAGCAAAGCAAAAGCCCTGAAGCAAGACCGCCAAGAATAGTCAGCCCGACGATGATGGCGCCCAATACTCCCACGGGAACGTCAATATGCAGCCCGAAGAAGGTGGAATTGGCCATTCTAGTCAACCGCTCTAGCAAATTAAACTCAAGAAAAAAAGGTGTCATGCAAATTATTATAAATATAATTACTACTGTTAGTGGTAGTACCACCAGAGAGTAAGGCTTCTAGCAGGAAAGCAAGAAACGCATTACAAACTCATGTACCGTACACGATACCCCAACGCACTGCCCCACCATTGCATCATGCTGCATCGATAATAAAAACTTTAGACTGTCAATCAAAAGTTTGTGCCTAACTGCCCTCCAGAATAATTTTTCCCTCTTTTTTAGTTGCTTGTTTGCTCCCAGGCAGTCACAAACCAGTTTTCCGTGTCAAATTCCAAGATCACCGGTATAGCAAAAATGAGGTAAATGTTGTCATCGTTATGCTCAAGGTGAAAGCGTTGTGGGCGGTCTTGTTGTGATGCTAGGAGACACCTTTTACTTGCGGCCTCACGACGCCAGCATCGGGCAAGGTCCACTTCTCGACATACCCATGTCTATCCTTCATGCGGAAAGGAAATTCTACAGGAAACGGAGGCCGTAACCCGGAGGTTTCACCCACCCTGCCCCCTCCCTTTTTATCCCCCAGCAAACTCATGGTATTACCATTGCCCGGTACTGCCTGTGTGGTCGTTTCATTCATTGCTTGAGACTCTTGCCGCAGCGCCTGTGAATCCTTCTGCAACGGATATGCCAACTGGCCCGACTCCGCCTTCAAGAGCTTTGCTGTTAAAAAATGCGTTCCAATACTGTGGTCCTCCTTCAAGGTCTCCGACGCATCACGGTACGCGCGGCACTCTTGTTTCAGACGTCCAATTTCGCAAGTTAAGCTCCTCATGTGTGAGGGACTTTCGGCAACCTCGACCTTACCCGAGGAGCCTACGTTAAGATCAGTTTGTACGGTGACATTAGACAGAGCAAAAACACCTCCGTCACTCGTCCCAGTTTGATTCAAACCAGCAGAAAGTGCTGCATACTCCCGTTTGAGAGTAAGGACAAGTTTCTCCGCCTCTCTCAAAGACGATCGAAGTTGCTGTAGTTCTTCCTCATATTTCACCACTAATTTCTCGTGTTGGGCGCACCTCCGCAACTTTTCCTCAACTATATCAACACGTTCCTTAAAAGGCCTTAAGAACAGTACTTCACGTTCCATTGCTCTCATCTTATCCTCGTACATTTCTTTCTCTTGTTTTACCTCATCCCTTGACTCCATCAATTTTCCCCTGAGATTGTCTATCTCCTTTACCGCGACACAATATGCCAAATCGCGCCTCTCTGCATTTTCCAGCAAAACAGTATTCATCCTTGCCGCAACCACCAGCGCATCCTCGAGGCATTGAAGCTGCGCCCCATAAATACCCTCCACGGACTCTTTTTTGGCTGATAAGGAAAATTCCTTCTCTGTAGAGAGCACAAGTAGCTTGCACAAGGTCAGTAATTCCTCCTCATATCGGGCAATCTTCTCTGCTGCAGATAGGGATTCCAGATGACGAGCATTCTCCATATCACGAAGCTGAACCACCATACCTTGATAACTCTTAAGCTCGCCTTGAAGCTGACAAATTCTTTGTTCATATGTATACTTCAAATCGTTCATCTCCTCCTCCGCTTCAACCAACAGTCGAGAAAGGCAGTCTCTTTCAGAAACAATAACTTCTTGTGTAACTTCAAGAGATTCCGAATCAGTAACATGCCTTATTGATCCACCTATTATTGCAGACCCACTCGGATCAGTGGCATCAACCCGCATTTCTCCATCTCTCAATCTGGGATCATCCAGTGTTGTACACGTCGAGGCTTCAGAAGTTGAAGTTCTCTGTTTTGAAAAAGCCGTTGTTGTGCAGCTAAATTTCGGTTCTGTACTCAACTCACTTCCTAAGTAAGATTCTTCACCTCCTAACAATATTTCCGGCACTGAATCCTCAATTGAGAGTCCTAAAAGTAGCTTTTGCTGCACAGTGATACGCGAAAGCGTGTCAAGGCATGTTGCCACACCCACCAGCCCTTGCTTCAATCGAATGAAAGAGCGGTTATTAGCAAACCCGTCGCAGGCACAGCCCTTCCAACGTTTTATGTGCAACTTGTTATGTTCATTATTCTCATCTTTATCGCCGAAAAAGGAATTTCGATCAAGACCAAAGTCTCCTCTTGGATTTAACGCCTCCTCTTTCCGCCAACCTAGCTGTGGTGTCACATCCTCCATAACCCTTTTGTTGTTGCTGTTGAATGAAGGCTTGATTGTCATTTTTATTGACGTGATAGAAACAAATAAAGAAAAAAGCTCGTTCATCACTGACCACTGCAGATAAAACCGTAGGCAAAAGAAAAAAAGAAAAAATGTGCTAACGATATTCATCCCTTGAAGGAATAAGCACTTTTACCAGTTAGCTCCTTCGGGAGACATTTGTCTTAGTCCTCAAAAATTCATTCCCTAGAAAATGTAGATTGCGTCGTATGCAACGGTCCATGCCAAGATGTACGTCATGGCACCAGTGGCGAGGTTACCAAGTGAGAAAAATTGTTTTGTTCCGGATGGGAAGTAGCGTTCAGGGGCACCTTCACAACCAATTTTCAGTATTATAAAGGAGCTTAGTACTGCGCATAGCAAGAAGAACACCGCGCCAGTGATACCTGTCAAGCCCATCACTCCTGCCCCAACACCAGCTAGGAGAGCGCTCATCGTTCTGATCTGGGACATGCTTGCCATGTTTTCTCCAAGATCCTCATCCACATAAATGGTCTTCCCTAGGCTCATTTTTGCTCACTAATAATTTGCCCTACCTCGTACACAAAAAAAAAGGTGAAGGGGTAAAACCACTCAAACAACAATAATAATAAATCTGTAACACTTCTTTCCTCTTCAAAGGGATCTGCACTTGTTTGTGCAATGAACCAGCATGCCCCGGTGTTCTCTCAATTATCGCTAAAAGAGTGGAATACGTGTCCACTATTGATTTCCACGGCCGCTGCTGCGCTCTAATTGAAGCTGAAGAATCACCTCTCTTTCCCGTTGATTCCCAAAGTATTTGATCCAACTGGCCGGGCATGCCTGATCCAGTGCTTTTTTTTGAGCTAAACATTCTTTTTCTGAGTCCTCCGGTAAAGTATCAAGACATTTATGATACGCATCCCGTGCCTGGTAGCAAACCTCACGCTTTTTTGCGTTTTGCATAAAGGGACACAATATATTTAGAATGCAAAAAAAAAGGTAACGCCAAATTAAGCCTGCTATTATTCCTTTATTAGTACCTCATGATGCAAAGATGCAAGGGCACAAATCACAAAAATGATAATGTGATGATTGTTGTTTTGTTAAAACGTGAGGGAAAAGGGAAAAAAGCATTATCGTGATTCAGGCAATGATTAAAAGGAAACCTTGAATAATTTCAAAAAAAAAAAAATGTTCCTCCTGCCAACGGTTTTACCAGGCAAACAACTCAAACGTACTCGATAAAAAAACACAACAAGAGAAAGAGAGTAGAAGACACATGATGTGACCTTCAACCGAAGCAATGCGAAGATTTATTTCTAATAAGGCAGCTTATTCCATTTTCTTCCGTGTATCCGATTGTAGAAATTTATTTACACGACATTGCAGATTTCGTTTTCTTAAGTGATTCAAAAAAAATTTCCGATCAATCCATTTAAATAGTCCAACAACAAAACATATTAAGAACACATATACACCTTTTTTCTTCCATATCGTGAGTAGTCCTTTGCCGTCCTGACGGTTCTCAAGCGAAAAAGTCTTCATATTAGAATCAGCCAACATCCTGACAAGCAAGCGGTTATTAGTGTGTCTCAAAAAAACCCATTCATTTTCGCTCAAAAATTTCACACCAACCCATCCTGCTGCTCGGGAATAAGCAAATTGTATTGAAAAATTGTCCACAACAACATGTTTCATCTTCAAGGAAGCAGTGCATTCTCTTGTAAAGCCGTGGGAGCAAGTCAGATTAATACCTTCATCTTCGGGATGTTCCGCAGATTTCCAAACTTCATCCAAGTTCTTCGATATAATATCAAAGGAACTGCTAGAAAAACTAAGAAATGATATGCATATCACTGTCATAACAGCACCATATGACAGTATACTCCGTAATCGAGTCTTTCCTACAACATCGTTTTTCACTCCATATAACGCCTGCATTTACTATGCCACAGACGCCGTCTATCTATCATTAAATACACATAAACATCCACATACATAAATGTCACAAGGGTAAAACAAAACAGTAGGAAAGAAGAAAGATAAGATATAATAATAATAATAATAATAATAACGCATTAACTTAGTTGCCCATCAAAAGAGTCTGACAGATGTAAATATATTTGTGATTTTATATATATGAAAAAAAAAATTCTTTGATCAAACAAGAGTCTTACTTACGAATTGGATTGTTCCAAAATATGAAGGTAGTACGCATAATTTTTATGTGAAGGATCCAAAAATGCAAACCCCTTCACTCCTTTAAAACGTTTTTCCGTCTTTTCACGACCGAGCTTTATAGCTGCATTGGCAAATTCCCTAATAGTTGCCGCCTCAGTTTCAGACAGTGGCAGAGATGCTTCCTTCGCTTCGTTTTTTTGATGTTTTAAGGCCAAATCTACTCGATTTCGTTTTCGGCGCAAAGCCTTGTGATCACAAATTCCTAGTAAAGAAGATGTTTTCGCCATCAAAGATGCAAGTTCTAAGGGATCTGATAGTGAGGGAGTAGAATTCATGAAGTTATCCAACCAGAATCCCGCCTTTCCATCAACAACATCTTCCAAGAAAGAGTTTAGTGTTGGTGAATTAAGGACTGTCAATGGTATTGGTAAAGGTGCCGCCAAACCAGTATCGCGATCGCTCTCTAGAATAATACCATTGTTCCATAGAGTTGTGTGCAGAACAATGTGTGTTATTATCAAGGGATACGAAAGATCAAGAGGACATTGTAGTGTATTACCTCCAAAACGAATCTCACATAATTCGTTTTGCGACGGGTAACAATAAACGTTTACATGGGGTTTTGGTATTGATTCAGCACTCGTACCAAGTGGTGCCTGTTCAAACCAACCCCGACAAGAAGTTGAAGGGGCAGAAGCAAAATGTCTTGATATCGGTAGTCTTTCTCCTGATGAATGCGTTAGAAAATTCTTCACCCGTGAATTTATTTCATTGAATTTCGGAATTAAAGATAACTCCCTAACAAGAGCTTCCCTTTCAGTACCAATATCATTTTCTAAGCGTATTCGGTACTGAAAGCAGAAATTATTCATTGCATCCTCCACCCATATTGGAAAAAAGTGGGCATCAGATATCAATTTTAGAGCAGTCTCCCTAGACTGCCTAAATGCATAGCACCAAAAAATGCATTTAACATCAAATAATGTAAATTCAGGAAACTTTGGCCTGTATGGCAACCGAAATCGATAAGAAAGTGCTCGTCCCAAAACTTCTAAACGAATCAAGTGTGATTCATCTGACAACTTTAAAAAAGAAACCAACCCAGACATCATCATTGAATTCATCACTTTTTCAAACACTGCCGCCGCACCCCGTGATATAAAAGTCATCTCAGATATACTTAAAACAGGTTGTATCCCTTTTCGGCAGGTCTCCAATTTGAACCGTCTAAATAACCACAAGGTAATATTTATTGCCTCTTGAAGACAGTCATCGTCCAGTTGACTTGTTTCGTCACCTCCCTCATCCGCGTTAGTAGAAACAAATATTGGATATGGTAATAGCTTAGGTGATGGACTTCCAGGAACAAGCATGCGAATAAGCGCAAAATCTCGACCGTCTCTGTTTTTCTCACCATAAAGAAGAGCCTCTACAGATAAATGATTTAAGTACCGCTCATGCTCTGGCTTCAACAGCTGTTTCTTAAGACTTTTTTGAGAACAAAAATAAACAATTGGGATACTTCGACTATGTGAAAGTAACAGTTCGTGAATTTCTTTCTCGCTTGATACAACCATAATTGGAGTGGATGTATAACTGTCACACAAATGCCTTTGTAGATCTTTTCGCAGTAATTCCATCTCTGGTACCACAAATAAGATACATCGCAAATTAGTATCACCTCTGCTTGGTTCCTCTTCACCAGTATCGCATAATTCTTCATGAATGCCCACAACTAGTTCTGTGGCTTTCTCAATCCATTCCTCATATGTTTCTGCCGCTGTATCACATGCTAAATCAACGATACATGGGTTATTTGTCAAAGTCTCGGTATTTAATACTCGATGCACGCAAATCCTTAGTTTGTTCTCAAAAAACAGCTGGACATCATCCAATATATTATCGCATTCATGTCCCTCCAATACACCAATTCGAATAGTCACCTTATTGAGTCTCTGACGTATGGAATCAATAGCAAACGAAGCAAAGTAGTGAAGTACAGATGATACAACTAATGCCCATAGGGAAACCAAAAACTCGCCGTATGAATTCCCTTTCTGAAGATGAAAATTAATATTTGGTAGGATGTATACCATATTCTTTTCAGATGTACCTCCCAAAAGATAACTCAAAAGGGATTGCCACATACAATCTATCCCTCTAAGATCCAATGAAACAACGGTATAAACACTTGACTCATCCTCTTTTCCACCATCAAAAACACCGCCCATATTACTAATGTTTTTTGATTCAATCACCACAAAACAATTGCCGTCTTCACTTTCCCGCACGAGTCGTAAAGCAGAGGGAGAATGAAACAGGCGAGGAATAATATCTAGAAACTCAAAACCACATCCTCCCTCTGGGCAAGACTCTTTACTATTAACCTCTTTTTCTAGTCCAATAATCAGATTGTGAAAAAAAGTATTACCCTCCGTAAAAAACAATGCCAAATCAGCCCTTGCAATCATGGCCTCCGGAAGACGATGCATCCTCGAGGCCGTAATTGTGTCAAAAAAGACACTACTTTCTACAGGACTACAGTAAGGCACATCGCCATAAAAGCCTGAAGTTACGTCCTTCGAACCCATCATCTAACAAAACCGAAAAACAAAGAGAAAAACAAAAAAAAGAAGAAAGTGAGTTCTCAAAATAAAACAAGTAAAAAGCCATCCACACAGAGACTCACATATGCATACACATTAATACCCAAAATAATAGCAAATAAAAAGATACAACAGTGGCACAATACGAATTCCATCATATCGAACAACAAACACAAAACAAAAAACAAACACCACAAGCAAGCCACATCCGCCCACCAAGCCATGATAGATAAAAACAAAAAGGACGCAACCTACGCCCCACCAACCTCGCATCTCACTGGCACCTTCCCCAATTTTATTCCTCTTTGAAAAAAAAAAAAAAATAGAATCCATTTGCTTCCCTTATTTTTTGCCTCCCCCTTCCCGGCGCGTCAGCGATGCGGTCGCGCCTCGGCGCGGTGCTTGCGGTTTGTTTAGGCACCAGAACCCCGCAGCGGAGCACCGCCGCGGAAGAAATGAAGACCAAGACAACCTCGCCTCTCGGGACTTTTTTGCAGAGCGCCAGGCGCGGGAAGCAAAACAGACTGCCCACAGATCGGCTGACGAAACTTCACAAGCGTTTCGTTACCGCCATCCAGTGGGTGCCGCCCGCCGCGGTGGCGTCCGAAAGTATCCGGGCCCCGGGGGAGGGGGGCTTCAAATTTGCCTGGAGGCGGAACGCCGCAAGCATTTCGCGCGTCAAGAGCGTAGCCCTTGCTGCGCGATT